AGAGGAAATCACCAAATCAATACCATTTACAATAGCCCCCAAGAAGATAAAATACTTAGGAATAAATCTAACCAGAGATGTAAAAGACCTATACAATGAAAACTACAAGACTCTACTGCAAGAAACCAAAAGAGACCTGCATAAGTGGAAAAATATACCTTGCTCATGGATAGGTAGATTCAACCGTGTGAAAACGTCAGTTCTACCCAAAACGATCTACAGATACAATGCAATCCCAATCCAAATTCCACCGGCATTTTTTAATGAAATGGAGAAATAAAATCCTTTAAGAAGATTGTGTAACACACATCCCACCCACGATGAATAATTACTGCTAACTGAGTAGTGATAATGCTAAAAATCTTTTTGCCATTCATTCTTTTCTTCACTCAGGCACTTTAAAATACCTGTGAGTGTGACATAGTAATTATGAATCTAGGCCCTGGAGCAAGATTGCCTGGGTTCAAATCCTTATATGACTTCAAACAAGTCCCTTTAACCTCTCTGGTCTCAGTTTACTCATTTGTAAAATAGGAATACTAAGAATAAGTCATAGGCTTACCAAAAAAAAAAAAAAAAAAAAGTTGCCATCAATTCGCTTCTGATGTAGGCTTTTAGTGAGGATTAAATTAGTATCCATGCATGCAATTATTATTATACATGCACGGAATAGTGCCTGGCATTTTAGAAGTGCCATGTCAGTATTGGTTCTTGCGTACGGAATATTTGCTTTTATTAACTGGACAAGCTCCATTGAGGAGATCAGAGATGTTTGCTTCCAAAACAATGAGGAGGTGCCTTTTGTTAAAGTATAGGCAGCAGTATTAGTTACTTAGGCGATCTGCGTGGCGCAAATGGTTAAGCACTTGACTGCTAGATGAAAGGTTGGCGGTTCGAACCCACCCAGAGGCACCTCAGAAGGTGGGCCTGGTGATCTGCTTCCAAAAGGTCCCAGCCTTGAAAACCGATGGAGCAGTTTTCGTCTAACACACAGAGTGTTGCCTGGAGGTGCAATCGACTTGACAGCAACTAACAATAATGCTCATTAGTTACTTTAAAACTAAAGCTTGACGGTTCTGGAGGGAGTTAGTAATGATGGTTCATATTTCATTTTCTTCCCCTTTAAATAATGAAGAAATTTCGTGCTTTTAAACAGCAAAAAATAGTACAAAGATAAACAGCAAGGTAAGTGGAGACCTCAAAGGTTTTAATCCTTTTTTTTTTGTTTTTTTTTAATACTGTACTATTTTAAAAGACACCCAAGTTATAGATTTAGGGACAATATGAACGCTCGTGTTGAATACATTTTCAAGTATCTTAAGTTACTGGTATTGATGGAAACACAATAATAATTTGTGTTTTGTATAATGATATTTGATACCAAATTTTCTAATTTCCTAAAGTCTTGTCAAAAACGGATTGGTGGAACAATGGAAATATTTCACGCTCTGCCTGTTCATCTTTAAGACAACATAGATTCTTGAAATTACTCTCACCCCAGTGATTACAAGTTTCTGGTACATTTAGCACGACTAATTGAGTCTTAAGAAAAGAGGAAACATTCTAGAATGTAGTGAAAATGAGGATATTTAACAACATTTCATCATTTAAAGTCCCCATGAATGATATCCTAAATCATTTACAACTTAACTTGGGTTGATAGATACAGCATTTGAATCATGGCCTCATTCTCTGTTCATGAGAGAAAGAACAAAATAAGCTGGTTACTTCGCCTTCTAAATACATTCAATAGAATGTAGCTGAAATGTTTTAAATTAAAAGAAACAAATGTTGACATCTGAGAAAGTCAATGCGTGCCTAAGTGTCAGAGCCGTTCAATTTCTTCATGAAGTTTTTCAGGAGAAATGAGGTTTGAATCACAACCCCATTATGCTGTTTGCATTGGAAGAGCATGCTCAGAAGGAAGTCCTCCAGTATTCGCTCTGAAACCCTTCATATGCCTCTACCATTCACCCGTTCTTACCTTCAATGAACACCTCGGCAGATGTTGTGTCTGAGCCGCTGGGGTTTGTAGCCAGACAGGTATAGCGGCCTGTGTCGTCTTCGAAGGACTCTGCTATGATCAAGGTATGCAGGTCGCCACCCTCACAGCGGATCTGAATATCAGGCGTGTTGTGCAGTTCTCTGCCCTCAGAGAACCATCTGCAGCCAAGTGGAGGTCAAGGTACAGGAGAGAAAGAAAGAAATGGCAGCATTTAAAACAATAAAGCAGACGTGAAAGGCGAGATGCTAGGTAATAAGATGCTTGTTTGATTAAAAAAAAAAGATCTGCGTCAACTTTACCGATGGCAGCTATACATTTTAGACGGTGAAATTAATGACTAGACCATTCCCATAGGTTTTCTTTGGAACCCATCTTGTACATTTTATCAATTGTGAAATAAGGGACATCGTCAAACTTGGAAAGACCGTTTCAGTTACAAAATAAAAGAAACAGAAATTCAAAGTGGCTCATAAAATGTTTGAGGAGGAATGCCTTCTCTGTGTATTACACGCTTATCTATTGTTCTTATCTAAAGAAAACCAGGAAAGTAATATAAACATTATGCTCAGAATTTCTGATGTATTAGGGAAATTCACCATCCAAGTTAACAAATCATAGGCAGTAATATTTTTGTTGACCCTAAGACTTCTGATCAGCTGAGCGGCAAGAGATGTAATGCCTTCCACATTTCCAATATTAACAAAACTTTCTAGCTGACCGCGTGACCTCAGAGACGTTAGAGAGATGTAGAGGCTGTGCCCTAATTCATTCTTGCTGGTCAGTAATTTTCCTTTCCCAAACAGTCAGGACCTTGGCGTGGGAGGCTGCAAGTTCCCAGATTGCTTTAACACAGGTTCTCTCTCACGCTGTCCCCCATTCTCCCAGCACCTCAAATTTTCAACAGGATTTGGTTGCCTTTAAGTTTTACAAAAAAATACAAAGCTGCCCTGAAAACCTGCCAAGAGGGAGTTATTTTTAAAGAAATGTGTAGCAATGTGCCACTTCACGCAACTGGAAGGACTGAAGTCTCTGGGATGGGACTGTCCATGTCATTTTGAGTTGGCATTTTAAGATTTTCTGAGTCTAACCTGCCATAAAATTCTTTGGATGTGGCATCCTTTTGTGAAAATACGTTACTACAGATGGACTCTCTACCGTGTTCTGCATTTTAGGATGGCATGATATCGATATTTGTCTATATCCAGTTTGAAAGTAAATTTAATGAGGCAAATAATATTCAGAGTATTAACACCAGAAACCATGCTAGAAATGAAATACGGGAGACTTGCAAAAGGACGGAGAAGACTTGAGGAACTGAAGGGCGTACAATAACCAGCCCTCTGAGTATCCCATGCAATGCCATGCATATTACTTTTGGAGGCCAACTGAGGCCAGTATTTCTTGATTCTGGGGCATTTGGTGGTTTTCTCTGTTTCCATAAAGTCTTGGAGAGATTTGCAGCCGAGCGCCATCTCTCACTCCCTTCTTTTCTGTTCTTTCACAGCTCTCGTCCAGATCAATCCCCCGTGGGCACCAGTCACGGCCTCTGTCTTTTAATTGATCTCTCCGTCTCCAGTAAGCTAGCAATTCTTCCCATACTCTGACATTGAGGCCCTTCCTAGGAGTTTGCCCTGACTTTATTTTCTATTATTTTCTTCTATTAATCCTCTGCCTCTGTTAAATGTTTGTATGCATTTATTGTTCCCTACTCAGTCCTCATGCATTATCTGCCTACTTTCCTTTTTCCCGAGCCCTGGTGGCATAGTGGTTAAGAGCTATGGCTGCTACCCACAAGGTTAGCAGTTCAAATCCACCATCTGCTCCTTGGAAACCCCACAGGCAGATCTACTCTGTCCTGCTATGAGTGGGAATTGGCTCAACAGCAACGGGTTCCCTTTTCCCACACGTTTCCCCTTTGCCATTCTCTCCTTACGGTCTTCACTAATCCCCATCTAGGGACCGCTGGCTAAAGACTCCTTCAACAGACTGACATTCAACTGAACACATTGTTGCTAAGCATCTCCTATGTGGAAGGTATTGCATTATATACTACAGATGACATAGAGAATTATGCCTGGTGAAATCTGAAACTAGTTGAAATGTTTATCTGTCTGTCTTGTCAATTAAAGTGTTCTTAACTTCCATAAAAGATATAAACCAACTCATAGGGGAAACCGAAGCCAGAAAAATACTATTGAGGCTTACGAGACAGAAAGATTCATTCCTTCTGGTTAGATGTACTTCATAGGGAAGCCTTCGCCAACCACCGAGTGGGGGTAATATATTGTTGTTTAATTTTCTGGTCAGCAAACTCCGGCCTGTGGGCCCGCTGCCTATTTTTGTACAGCCTGGAAGCTAAGAACGATTTTTATATTTTTAAATACATATTCCAAAAAAAAAAAAATAATAATCAAAAGAAGAGTAGTATTTTACGACACATGAAAATTATAGAAAGTTCAGATTTCAGTGTCTGTAAATAAACTTTTATTGGAACACAGCCATGCTCATTGTTTACATACGGTCTACGGCTGCTTCGGGTTACAATGGCCGAGAAGTTGTGACAGAGGCTGTGTGGCCCACAAAGCTGGAGATAATTGCCAAACGGACCATGACAGACAAGTTTGCCAGTTTCCGCTCTACCTCCTTGCTCCTCCAAGTGCCATCCTTGGATTAGCAGCAGTAATGTCAGGAAGCTTGTTAGGGATGCAGAATCTTGACCCTCACCCCAATCTGTGGAGTCAGGTCAGCTCCCCAGGTGATTCATACGCACACTGAAGTTTGAGAGGCCCTGGTCTAATATGTTTCTGGAGCCCACTAAGCTGTATAACAGAGTCCTGGGTCTCCATGAGTTAGTTATTCACTTCTTTAACACAGCAACCACAGTTTATGGGTTGTGTGTCCCTGGTCCCTTGAACACAAGTACACACATAATAGTGCTCTTTTTGGTTCTCTCAACTTTACACTGAAATTTTTAAAATGTTATTCATTTGACAATTGGTCATATATCACTGTAACACCTTCTGCATTGTTTCTGTAGAGCATAATCTGACAGGGCATGCATGTATGCCCTATTTCCTTACCTAGAAAACTGACTTTTTTGATTGCCAAAAACAAAAAAAAATTGTTTTTTTTTGTTGTACTTTTTTATGGACCTGGCGTTATTGTACATAGTTGGTGCTTTAAATATGCTTATTTTCTGTAACTCTTGACTTTGGAATACGGGTCCCACGAAAAAATTAGGGAAGGATCTGTGGCCTAATAGATTCGGAAAATGCTGCATATTCATATTATATCTTACTCCTTGATGTTCACAATTCACATTTTCTTATTAAAGACTCTGAGAAGTCCCGCAGTGAAGTAATTTGTTCAATGTTGTCTATTACAGCATTTACTCAACTTATTTGACCTTGAGATTCTTTCCCACTTAGCACCTACCAACATCCCATGTGTATTTTTGCAAAATGCTTTTCTGGCATATATATTTCATGGAGACTGTGCTTTTTTTTAAAAATGAATTGAGACCAATTATTATCTGAGTAACAATAATAAGGGTAAGGTGGAAGAAAATAATTAGTAAGCGCAATAAAATATTTGAAATATATCTTAATACTGGGAGAAAGATTAAAGCATCACACACACTTCCTGCAGCAGGTTAATGTGTCTATTCGGCCCTCTACAATGATTCATTATGTAATAAAACTATTCAAAAACTACAAGTGGTAAAATGGTTGGTGCTTACAAACCCCCAGGCTGACCTGGTTTTTTTGTTTTCGAAAAACTCATACATTCGGTTCTCCAGCTCTGTGAGCGACTAAAACGTCAAACGCACCTCAGATTGTGACACGTAGAAGAAATCACGCAGAGAAAAGACTGAACTTGTCCAGATCAGGCAGTCACTGTGACAACGTGAGCCACTATAGTGCTTTCATGCCATCGGGGATGCCAAATTGTTACTGAGGTAAGTGCCTGTCAAGTGCATAAACCAAACACCAAACCCACTGCCATTGAGTTGACTCCGACGCAGAGTGGCCCTATAGGACAGCATAGAATTGTCCCATAGCGTTTCCAAGGCTGTAAGCTAACCAAAAGGTCGGCAGTTTGAATCCACCAGCTGCTCCTTGGAAACCCTCTGGGCGGCTCTACTCTGTCCCATAGGGTCACTATGAGTCAGAATCGACGGAGCGGCAGCGGGTTTGGGTTTGGTTTGGTTTCTTTAATCTTTACAAAAGCAAACTGCCACCTCTTTCTCCCACGGAGCTGCTGGTGGATTCAAACCACCAACCTTCCAGTTAGCAGCAGAGTGCTTAACCACCGCACCACCAGGGCTCCTTGCTAAGTGACTAGTTCCACGCTATTACAATGTGGTAAGACAGGGGGATCCAAGGAAAGAGGAACAACTGCAAATATTCGAATGGCAGACTCCTGAAGAAACAGAACGGGCAGCCTGGCTCCTGACGTATCAGTGTGGCCGAGATTTAATGTATTGATTTTATAATTGGAACCATTTGCACATTACAGTTAGAAATGGCCCAGCAAGAGGCACAATTGTGACTTTAGGAAACCCACTTAGCCTTCCTGGTTCAGGATCCTCATCTGTCTGCGATAAGACTTTCTAGCCATAAAGTTCCATGATTTTAAAGTTTTTGTGAAATGGAAGGGTTGCATATTTAGGGATCTTGTTTAAACTTATTTCAGGAAATGATGTAGAAAATTCATTGATGAAAGGTAACAGTGATTAATGGTTTAAATTCTTTGAAACATATTATTATATCACAGTGCATCTAAGATTATATACCCGCACTAGATCCTTAAGTGTATCAATGAATTTAGCATTTTGTCTATATCACTTTTCAATCACCTCATACACATGAGAAAGTTGGATAACGAAAAAGGAAAACAGAAGAAGAACTGATGCGTTCGAAGTGTGGATTTGTGAAGAACTGGATATACTGTGGACTTCCAAAAGAATGAACAAATAGGTCTTGGAATAAATACAACCAGAATGTTCCTTAGACATCAAGATGGTGAGAATTAGACTCGCTTACATTGGACACATTATCAAGAAACAATAATAACTAGGAAAGGACATCATGGTTGGTAAAGGAGAAGGCCAGTGAAAACTGGGGAAACCCTCAGGGAGATGGATTGACGCATCAGC